ACTGCGGCGAGAGTGCGGTTACACGGCGGCAGCGGACGAGGCGGCCGTGACAAATCTGAGCCATCCCCGGCTACATTAGCACCTGCTTAGCAAATCCTCGCAGTCAATAGCGTGCACAATTTGTACACGGTGACAGGCACTAAGCCGCCGGCCGACAGCCTCGCCCGGTGTACACTCACAACACTATTAGTAACTATTAGATTCAGGCAGCTTAAGCTCCTCTAATGAAGACTAATCGAATATTAATTCAACAGGTTAACGTCCAGCCGTTCATTAGATATCGATACTATTAGTCTGATGTTGCGCTCTCTGTGATCTTGCTACTCAATGTAAATATACACTAACAATGTCATCAATTCTTATTGAAAGTAACATATACAAATTTAAACTAAAATAAAATTTCCATATATAATATATTTTATGAAATAATTTTAAAGCAGACTAAAAACAAAACCGATACTAACAAATAACAATGAAAGCAAAATATACCTGAAAGATGTGATGCTAAAAATAGTGAACAATAGAAGCAGAAACAATGGCCCTCGGGGACCCTCGCGCGGTGCGTTTTATGTGCGCGGCCTTATTAATAATGGAGTAATGCGCCGTGTGCGAGGTGCCGAAAATAACGCATTAATATGCCTGCGACCACATATGTTCTACTGTATTATTACAATATGAAAAAAGCTAATATTCATGACTAAGAAGTGTTCACATATGTTACTTTTTAGTAAACATTCCTGATATATTCCTGATCTTTATCTGTATTTACTGTAGCCACACTTAGAGAAAAATCATTTCTAAAACTATCTTTTAGCGCATATTCTACAATATTTCTACACTAAGGGATTCCCATAGTCGTGATTTAGCAACTATTGACAATTCCTTATTTTATTTTAAATAAACATAACAATCAATCTTGAATGTACACAGAAAAACATTCTACAAATCATATTTCGAATGTGAATTATTTGCAAATGTAACAATGAGCTTACATTTGTAACGGAAGATATGCGAGTCTGACACAACATTCAGCGTGGAGTCACGGGCGTGGGAGAGGTGAGCTTTGGTGGCAATGCTGCACAAAGACGTTTCCTTGTTGAGGTTGGCGGAGTCGCGCAACGCGACTCCCGGACGCGCAATACTGAATATCTTGTTGGAAAAGAGTGGAAACGGCTTTTTGTAATGTCAACTTTAACATACAAATTTTATTTCTTCATTCTTATCAGTTAGTATAAAGTTTCTAAATATTACAAAGAAGACAAATATGACAAAAATGTTATTTAGCTGTACTATTTAAAAAAAATGTTTTGTGTTTTGTACACTTGTATTCAAATATTCGAATTATGCTTAATTGCCATGTAACCGTAAAATATAGAGAATAGATTTACATTGATAAAATGGATATGAAAGAAAGTTCTCTCTATAGTTGTCTGATGTAAAAGACACACCCCCGCGGCAGATTATATTTAGCGTTTGCACCTAGGAAGTTCATTAAGGGACTATTTTGCTAATGTGCACCGACTCTAATTGAGCAGTTACCGCGAATCTGTAGCCATTCCATCGCGCGCACGCCCGCTGTGTGTGCACGGCATTATGTTTATGCCCACTAAACTTACTATCTTATGTGAAACTAGCTAACGCCCGCGACTCCGATCTTAACAAATTTTTAATAAATTATTTGGTTTCATTCATAATTAAAAGTGTTTTTGAAAATTTACATTTTCATTCTTGACTTTGATATAGAAAAACCTCTGTGCCATATTACTAGTCCATACGCTCCCTACTTTGAGTTGTGCGTTCAAAGCTAGACCCACAAATTATTATTCTATATAGATTTATCGTCTGTAATGCAAAGTAGAATTCTATGCGATATTAAATAAAGACATAAGTTAAAATAGATAATGATAATATGTCTTTTTCACATAATTCTTTATAAGAAAAAAGTTAAAAAGTGTAAATATTCTTGACGGACCATTTTTTACATTTACTTTTAAATGTAAGCAGATTTTGTCGAGCAACTTCTCTCCTACTTAGAGGCAGTAAACATAAACAATCTCGAACATTGGCAGTAAATCGCGGGGCGCCGAGAAATATGCATATAAATTATCAAACTGCGTATAAAACACAGTGCACCGCGTTGATGTATGGACACCGCCCGCCGCCCGCCGCCCGCCGCCCGCCGCCCCACCGGGCTAACTTACCACCTTACTTTATCAATAAATATACATAACAATTGCTCTCGAAGAACTTTCACAACATTTACATCTATTAGAGGCCTATTGAGTAAAATGCAAGACAATACATCAAAACATGATGTTTTTAAAATCGTTTAAAACTAAAATTAAGTTACTTTCCACACCATAAAGGTTTTCTATTTTCCATCAATGGATAATTTATCTTAAGAGTAGCGTTTAAGTCTTACACATTTTATAAAACGTTTTCTAAGTGAGGTGCGGGGCCGGTGCCGCGTGCGGGGGGTGCTGAGTGGTTTCGCATGTCGCCACCTCAGGCCGCGGGGCGCCGGTGTTCTTACACTTAGTTTTTTCCAACTCTTAGGTGATACACGGTATTGCTTTCCCATTGCCTCACTATAATCGTAAGACGTAAGATGGTTTTTTCACTAACTATGGTGTGGCATGTCATAATTAAAGTGTTTTAAAAAATAAAAATATAAAATTGTCATTGACATATTAAAAATCTTTTACAACACAGGTGGACAGATAGAACGAACGAATAGAACGACCTACTATTAATTAATTTAATTTAACATGTTGCGGCAAATTTATTAACAGCCAGCAGCAATAAAGCCGACCGACGTTTATATTTTTGTATCGGTGATTTAAGGATTATAAAAATACGTAATAAAATAACCTATAAATATTTGCCATCTGCCTGATAAATATTTTTGTGTAACTGTGTTCTCGTCGATGTGATTTTTACACAAAGTAAGATATAGTACATAACTGTGGTTATGTCATGTAACATATAATCGTATCTATGCATAAAATAATCATAACGCCTCACGCCGAACTGAAATCAAACGCTCTGTATTCATAGTTTGATTTGATAATTAGATGGCAACCGGTTATGGGGAATGCTTATTTTGAATACAAAATCGTCGCGGAATTAATGTGAATGACGCTGCAACTATCTCATAGACGTGCGAAGTGCGGCTGCAGCGCGTGTCCTCAATTTGTTTGTAGGCGGATTAAATAGTCATATTAAATGCTCACACAGTATAATTATACGCAGCATGACAAGTATTATTAAAGTTTTCTAACAATAAATATATACGATGAAATATAAGTAACTTATAAAAGATCTACACTTCTATCGCACGAGAGATGTGAATTTTTGTTAGACACGTCAAATTTAAGATATGATCTATGTCCTGACATGCGTACCTTTATAATGTGAGGGAAAATACGTTTTCTTTTTTTGTTAAAAACAACGACTTAATTAGTATTTTGCTACAAAGGTTGTAGTAAAAAAAATATAATTGAAGACTTTTTTGTTAACGAAAAAATATAAAAAAAAGGATTGTAAATAGTAAAAGCAAAGTTATTCTACTGTTATTACGTAGGCTACATAGCAGGCTCCCTCAATCGAGTATCGGTGTGATCGCGCGCAGTGCCAGATTCATTCCCGGCTAATTACACAGCCTCATTGCGGACAAACAAACTCAGTTTTGTCAATATCGACAGCGCCGCGCCGACTGCCAGCCACCAGTTTAACGCTTAATTTATTGATACCTATTCCATGTTTGAAATTGTAAATTCGTTATATCGTTTAATTATATAAATAATTAGATATATTACAAACGTTTGACTATAAGTATGAGACTGATTCTTTTCTATCCTTATGTTCTTGAAATATTGTTCTCTTGTTCAAAGAATCTTAAAGTAGCTGCGTTTTTATATTAGTTACAAAACTTTTTCTCAGAATAAATCAAAGAGGATTGTTATATTATATATTAAAGAGCCATCTTTGTTTAAATATACAGTATCAATATAATTATTTTAAAAATATTCTGATTGGTTGATAAATTGCAAAACGATATAATTAAAAAAATGTTGCAATTCGAAATTTAATTTAAATTTTCAACTCTGACCACAAATAGGCGGGCTATATCCGCGATATCCACCACAGTCGAGTGGTCGCGTACAAATAAACGGTTGATTTGATCCGCGCCGCTTTGCGGATCGCGTACACGAGCTGTGGGGGTGGGATGATGGGCAGAGGGGGGAATGGGAGAGGAGGGGAGGTCACCGGAAAAAGTCAAATGAACGAGTCCGGCCGATTGCGGCTGATTTAACACCGATAGAGGTTAATGAAGCGAAAGTTGGTCCGTAATCAGATTTAAAAAAATCTTGGCATCAGAGCATCGCATCGTATATCTGTCATTCATCACTGGTAATGATTCATTATATATAAAATATAAATACTGTTTCTACGTCCAACTAATTTTAAAAATAGAATTGTAGGTACTAAATATTTCTTCGCTTTTTAAATGTTTTCGCATGTCTATACACAATAGACTTAAAACATAGAAAGAAATATGTATTATAATTGATATTTATTTTAATTCACTATGAAATTAATCAATTTATATTAAATCGATTATTTTTTTTAACAAATGTCTATATTGTACGAGAGCAAATCCTTAAGCCGGGCAGTAGCATTGATTTTCATAGCATCTAGCTAGGTAAGAAGTTCGGCACAACGTGGCACACACGGGCATGCATTCATAAGGAGTAATGCAGGGGATGCCCAAGCCGGATGCTAAAATAAAAACAAATGTGTTAAATATGAAATCATTCAAATTAAGTATTACACCGTTGGGACAAAGTTAACGAGAGAAATACAACTTTAGTATCAGCCTATCATGAACATAACTGATCGGCATGGTTAAAACGAAAGAAGAAAGAGAAATGCTACGAAGAAAAACCATTGAAACAATTTGTTGTGTGTACATAAATTTTATTTGAAATCAATTAGTTGTAAAATTTTTGATTTTTTCTAATCACATTTTATAATGTTCACATTAAATCAATATGTACAGGCATATTTTCAAACACCGCAATAACACTGGCGTTCTATACACCTAGCAGTGAGAGCCTCAGAGCAGGACGCCAAGCAACTGCTAACGCATTGGTACGAATCGTAACAATATGCCCCCGTCGATCCTCCGGATGCTAAAAATATATATATAAATGTTATATACTCTTTATTAAGTCAAAATTCATTTGATGTTAAACCTAATATAGGACCCTAGAAACTCTCTGAGGTACAATAAGAGTTTGGTGAAGCATACTTTTAATAAAAATAGGTACGGTAAGGGTTACTTACGTGAGATTGTACAAAAAAATATATGTCAATACTAATTAATGTAAAAGAAAAAAACAAGGAAGCATAAAGTTGTATAGGAATTAAAATTATGTTAAATAAATTGATGAAAAGTGTTACGTTTCGTTAGGAGCATATGAGACCTCATAGGAGATATAACTCTTTTCATCAAACACTGAAAAAATAAATGTTCAAAGTAAATTCTTACAGGCAGCATGCAATGGAACTGCATCGGAGTGGTGCAGCGGGACGGGAGCTCCGTAGTTCGCGGCGAACGCGACTGCCATCAACATGGAGAAGAGGACGAGGATCTTCATTATTCACCGTTTATTTGCCTTGGAGAATATGCTAGTTGAGAGACGTCGTCAGTGCTTAAATACAAAAATATCAGCTCAATGCAATTAGATACGCGAAGAGATTCGCCACGCCTCGTTACTGCCCGTTATCGCATAATAACGTTGATATAAATGCTGTTACATTCACCATATCAACAAAGCGTTAAAATTAATTCGACGATTGAATTAACTGAGACGTAATACAATTATGAATTTTAATAACGTAGAGAGTCGTAACATCCCATAGCACTGGATACTCAAAACTCATGAATCGCCTTATATTGTGGCTAAAATGGTTATAGAAATAAAACTGTACAATTAATCTGAAATATTTATTACATAAGATAACTTATGGCAATATTTATATGCCACAGTTGCATTGGCCGTTGATGCAGTTTGCGACGTTAGCAGCGGGACATTGCATCTCGCATGCCGTTGAGCATTCCTCGGGCCTGCTACACGTCGTCATCTTAACAGGCGCTAAGAGAAAATATTTTGTTTTATTTATATTTTAAACTGCATTGACAAAAGACGTACGAACAATGAAACAAAACAAAAAAGTATTTACTTAGTTGATACCTGAGACATGAGCCGCGGGGCCGGCAAAAGTGACAGAAGGAGGTACATCATCAGCTGTGCACATCGCTGCCAGAGCGACTAACACCATTATTGACCACTTCATATTGCCTCTTGTCACGTCCGCAGTCTAAGATGCCTCCACAAAACTCAATCTATATAATAAGAACCTAAGGCGTCTCTAATTATGAATTAAAAACCAATTAATCTTATATAATCTTTTAATTAAAATTCGTATGTAATTTAAAATTAAACTTCAAACCTATTATTTCTAAATTACTAAAACGTAAGGGCTGTTCCAAACTATCACAATTTATTTATTTTATCTACAACCACTACTTTGTAAAGGTATAAAAGTATGCGGGAGATTAAAAATGAATTTCATAAAATTTATTAAAAATAATTCTTAATATTTATTGGTCCACTGTACGTTTGTATATTTTTGCCAATTGTTTTGATAAAAAGACTCTTAAGGTAATGACAACCCTTGACCAATTTGTAGTAATATCCTAACTATAATTATTTTCTCTTAGTAACTTTATTATGAATATAGAATTTGATACCAATCGCAGTATTAGGGTAGTTAATTGTACGCAAGCCCTAATAATAGACGTTGAAAAGCGTCACGTCATTAAATTTTTTAATAAAAACCGGATCAAATTAGTGCGTGCTTTCAGGCGTTCGTTAATTAGGTCGTGATTGCGTTCTAATATGTAAGCATTTTACCACGAACTTAAGTTGAATAAAAATTCATATTAGTAGGCAAAAATAGGAAGAGTAAGTTGGTTTAGATTTACATAATCACATTAATTCTAATAGTTTAATATTTATTTTCTTGAATATTATTTAATTAATTAGTCCAGGAACATGGAAAAAATATTATCTGTTGAAGAAAATGTTGTTAAGTGTGCTTTTTGTTTTAGATAATCTGTCGACGGGAGCTGTGGATCTTTCCAATTAATTCGTTGAACTACTAGGCTACTGAACATCTTTCGTTAGTTTTCAATTACTTTCACGAAATACACTTCAGCTTATCATAAAGTATTTAAGTTAACAGTTTACATTTACACTGACATGGCTTTAATTTAGTTCGAGTATTGCTAATATCGCGCATTACTTGCCGCAACAGTTACTTATTGTTTTACCCTAATTTGTAACGATTAGCCACACCACAGTTTACTATTGCTATTGGCAACGAATTACTATATTAATTACAATAGCACTTTTCAAACTACTTAAATCATTTCATCTAACTTTTGCAAGAGATCTCTATCATTGTCTCATTAGGCGTTAACAAATTCAACAATAGGCGGTTAGCTTCCTGTCACTATGAAGCACGTTTGATGTCACAAGTGACAGGAAGGCGGGGAGGAGGTCAGGAGGCATGAGGCAGCGGCGAGGGGGCGCCACTTCTGTCGGATCACCGCGAACAAAGATTTAACTAAGAGACAAAACATGCTTACTTAAGGTTGTTACCTTTTTGAATATACAGCATGTACCTTTTTAACGTACCTTTAATTTAATAACAGTTATATTACGCTCATTAAGAGTTAAAAAAACGTAGCCTGCAATTAATATACGACTTTTGTAAATTCTGAGTACACATTAATGTTATAAAAGTGATGTTGTTTTAAGTGTTGTACTAGCAACACCATTTAACTGACATGTTATAAGTCATACAACTTATTTGATAATCCACTAAGCTGTGTATTTTTCAATATATTTTGCATAAAAAACACCATGCACCACGCTATAGAGTAGGAATTCAATGAAACTTTACATAACGTTATATCACTGTAACCTAAGAAAGTAAAGTAAATTAGAACATGCTGTACAGCAACCTCACCTCTCCCTATTGTGTCGAAGTCTGCCACAAGCACGGCCTTAGTTGGATAAGTTTTTAATGAGCCCCCTCTTATATAATCTGTATTGTATATGAACTGTAACCACGTAAGTAGATGTATCTTAATAAAAACATAAACTGATATATAAACACGGCTAAACACTCACGTATATTCGTCCGGTGGCGGCACCGACTAGTTTCGAGCCCATCGGGGGATCTTCATCAGGATGAGTGGTACTGGTATTATTTCGAGGACGCGGCCCGTCGCTCACTCACTGATCCTGATGAAGGGCCCCCGATGGGCTCGAAACTAGTCGGTGCCGCCACCGGACGAATATACGTGAGTGTTTAGCCGTGTTTATATATCAGTTTAGTATAATGTCTCACGAAAGTTTAAATAATTTAAAAACATAAACGTAAATATGAATATTACTGCTTACATAGATATAGTAATCGCTTCATAATTTAAATCGATCTTACTAGATACCCACGCGCACAATAAATCATGCCGCCATTCGCGCATTCACGAAAAAACTGGTGCCCACTTGAGCAGGAGACAGGGAAAAGAAAATACCTTTTCGGCTCCTGTTTCAGAAACCCATAGATTGCAATTTAACCGAGTGGTGGACCGCAACAATAATAAATCACCCCATAAATCCAGCAGTCGCAGCTCGCGCCCATAACCGATCCCGCATCCACTTCATTCGTCATTTCTTTATCAGCAAAAAAGGGCAAGCAATATCCACCTTTGGAAAAATGAAGGCAAGCCGCCCTACGACCTCTAAGACAACTATTTATCGCGATAAAAAAACAGATCGTAAATCATTGTTATATTCTATCTGGCAATCTTTAAGGTGGGCTCTAGTAAATAAAACGGTACGATAATAGTGAGGGGAAAACTATTTATTTTTAAAGAAAAATAAAGATATTAAGACATTTTTTCATTGAATTTATAAAGATGCCGTCACTTCAACTGCAAAAATGAGAGTTAAACAGTTATGATATCCCATGGTAGGAGTTGCTAGACGCAAAATTATCAAATAATCCCAAATACTGACAATCGTCAGAACCTGAAAGCTGTTACATTTTTACAAGAAACGTCTAAATTAAAGGTTTTATGTGTGTCAGGTTAACAAAGTCATGTGCATTATATGAAAAAATAATTGATAGAAAATGTAAGGCAAAACTGTAACTGTAGCTAACATATGTTAACATATTATATTATAACTTTTGATAAAGCCACCTATTACAAGAACAATAACGTCACATAACTTCATAGAATATAAAAGAACAGAATGGAAGATATAAACAATAATCTGGTTCTGATCATAGATGTTTCCATAAGCAACACAAATCTGATGAATCATTTAATTAATATCCCGTCCTCATTTTCCGTGCAAGAACGATATCAACTTAATATACGTTTCTATACTGTCAATTTACTATCTTCTCAATTTGATTTCAAAAACAAATTTCTTAAGATTAAGTAGCGAGGCATAATCGACAAGCTCCACGCAATTACCGCACGCGGCGCGGCGCAGATAAAACAAAGACAACCCTTGCTCCCCCGCTCTCGCCCCCGCCCCGGTACTACCCCGCGACTTATTCACATACAAAGCCACTTGATGCCCGCAATTAAAATCTTAACATATAGGATTAATAAACACCACCTTGACTAGGGATGTCACTCACTTCAACAATCTAACATCGATAAATAAGGATAAAAATACAAAAATATTTAATGAATCCCACGAAAAATCAGAATGCGAAAATGCTACATATCGTAACAATTAATAATTTTTAGAATATAAATTATTTTTTGTGCTTATATTTTAAAACAATTGCTGTCCCTATCTTATCTAGTACCACTAAGGATGTAAGACAGTCTTGTAATAACAATATTGATGTTCCTACCAAGACATATGTAAGTAATTAGAAATGACAATATTTAGCAGTACAAATGCGGTATCAAAGTGTGTTGTGCCTTGCTTAAAAAATTGATTTAATTTATCGATATCGTATAACACATCACTATCAATCCTAACAAACATCGTTAAGAGAGAGGTAGGACGTCTTTGAATTAAATTACACCTCGCTAACTCCAAACAATAATCTTTAACATTTCTCTCCCCCCCTCCCCCTGGTCCCACCCCCTCGTAAGCCTTCTACGACGTGTGGAGCGTCTTGCCGACTAAAGATAGGCCGATAACGAGTGGTTTTATGTGTAAGGTGTATGACACACTATTAGCGTTAAGATAACAAAACATGCGCCATACGACTCACTTAAACTCGACTGCGTAGTCGCGACATCTAGCGGAGAAACTGTAATATTTGCTTAACAACTTAGTTGAAACGTCATTTATATTCTACGTAGGACAAGCTTGTACATAGAGATTAAACTTATAATAACATTAGAAGTAACAAACCGTCCTTAATGTAATAAAATCAATCGATATCCTCTAGATAAAAACTCAAGGTCAATCAAAAACTTTACTTTTATGCAGTAAATATTTTATTCAAGTATTTTTTTTGTAAATATGACTGAATTATACAAGTGTTTTTCTATAATATACAAATTGATGATAAATCTTAGTAATATTATAAATGCGAATGTTTGAATGTATGGATGGAAGGATGTTTATTAGAAGGTACCTTCAAAATGGTTGTCTCGAAGTCTCGAAGAACACATAGGCTACTAATTAAGTTTCTGTTAATTCCGCGGACAGAATCGCGGGTGACAGCTAGAAAGATATAATTTTAAACAACACAAAAAACGTGTAGAGCAACAATAAGTGATATATTTAATCAGTGCCATTGTCCAATATCAGTAGTTCATTTAAGGTCTCGCTTGTTGACAAAGGTGCCCTAACCCGTTACTTAAGCCGACCTCAATAGTAGTTGAATTGCTTAATTGAGCGAGCGATTCAAAAGGGCCCAACTATCTTAATTATTAGCAAGGTGCTTAAGGGTTGAATTTACGATGTGTTAATACGACCCGATATACGTCGCCGCCAATTGCTCCAACCCTTAAATTAAATTTACCTGAGGGTATACGATCCCTTGTTGCCAACATTAAGCTAAGTATTATAACTTATACTTAACTTAGTGTTAATACAAGTATAGCACGTAATATTTGCTTTTATTCAATATAGTTATATGTGGAGAAAACTCTAATAAATAAATTATTCATTTGTATATTTGAGGTTTTATTACTATTGGATGAATTTTTAATATCGTAACTACATACAAGAAAAGGGTAGTTAAAAACAAAGAAACATGATAAACCATAGTCATTAACGCAGACTTTTTTCTTGCTTCAATTTAAAGATCAACGACCCCGGCAGTACCAGTACAGGCGCAAACTGAGGAAGTATACAATCTCAGTGAAGCTGAGCACACTACAGCCCAGGAAGAGGCCCGCCATGCCGCCCACAGCCACTGGAAGTTATCTCAAGGTCAAGAAATAAAACTATTTTAAATTAACGAATGAATCATTCACAAAATAAGTAATAAAACACTTACCAAGTACATCAGTAAAACCGAAGATGATATCTCGTCGGTACCTCATGCGAGGGTAGGTAACGATACCCCATTGTAAATTTGTGCCCAAGAACCACTCCTGACGTGCCTAAGAGACATACACATATTATAGTATTTACTCTAAGGGCGGCACTAAATGTCAAAATAATAATAACAAACTGATACAAACACTTGTTTGAATAACATAGTTGATGTCGTCGCAAATCGGGTAGCACTCACAGCTTACTTTCTTGCCGGAGTCGTCGCGCAGTTTGTAAAGTATATCTAAAATTATAGCGCAAAAGAATTTATGAGATATAACTTGTGTGTAATTAAATTATTCCATTTTATGATTTTCATACCTTTATAATTTGCCAAACAATGCAAGCCGTCGATATCACAAGTTTTTTCATCGCCTGTAAGAAATAAATAGCAAAATTGAATTTACGATAATTTTAAATTTATTATATCTAAACAGTGAATGAGTCTTTTGACGCACAACATATCATTATATATATTATTATATCATATATTAACTCACGGATTGTTCTATAAAAATGTGGAACACATCCACAATATTTGAGGCATAACTTAATTCTGCATTCCATACGGCACAGGGTGTACGTGTAGATGGCGTTGTGCTTCAGATTATTCTCGTGGGGAAATCTACATCGCCGCTGACCAATACTTAATCTAAGAAAATTACAAAGTTTCATTTGCTTTTTAAATACAATGGCTAGTGGTAAGTATGACATACCAAAATCTGGCACAAGTATTAAGAACTTAGAATTGTTTTTGCGACACAAGTAGCTGTTAAGGAAGATAATCAGGAAAATAATTTGTAATGTTTTTACTTAGCAGCTTCCGATGACGTGTACACGGTCACAGCGGTCACATAAATTTTCATATAGAAATTTTTTGACGATTGCTGATATTTAGTTGATATGTCTGGGACTTCGTATGGCCCATGAATGTACACCTAAAATACCGTCAAGATTTTTTAAGTATATTTAAAATTGAACACCTTAAAATATTTAACTAATTTAAAAAGTAAACTGACTCTATAAGAAGCTGAGATGTTAATAAGCTGAGCGAAAACCTCTCCGTCCAGGGGATGAATGAAAAAAGTTTCATTCTCAGTTTTCACAAGATTCCACTTGTCCGCTGCTCTGTACCTGGTAACAAACTCTCCAGCTTAAACACAAAAACATTTATAAATACACTAAGTTTAACAATACTATAAGAAACATACGTGGGAGAATTGTAAATAGCAACTTTTGAGTTGAAAGAATAACAAAGGCCCATCTCAGTAATGGTAGACACAGGGCCGAGAGTGACTCCAGCAGCGCCGATGTTAATGTCGGGCTTGAAGTCCGGCGCAAGCTCAAGGATCAGCCGCATGTAATGGTCGGCAGGCACCGCCCGGTAGCGTGGCAGCGACTCGAAAGTTTGGAACGACGCATTCGCCAGCGCATTGATGAATTCTCGAAGGTTCGATTTATCAGCCACCTCCGAGTTTCTAAGTTTGTTGAAACAATTGGGTAGTTACAGTCGTAAAGGATATATTTACGTAAGCATAGGCAATCGATTGATATGCGGATTACCGAACACATACCTAATATAATTTTCAAGTTTTCCTTCATCAACTTTATTTTCGATGCATATAGTTATAGCTGGAAATGTGGTGTTCCAAGCAAACATGTCCCGCTCCATGGAGACCACGGTGGGCGAGGACTGGTACCTCATCCATGTTGTGTGAGACAGATACATGGCGCCAAACAAGGACAGACATACCACAGACACCCAGAGGGAACTGCAAGAAATCAATAGAAATGAAAAGCAACATTGTCATGGAAGCTATTTGTGAATGAATGGAAGCCAAAAGCCAAAAGGATAGTAACATTTCACAAGGATGTCGTCTTGGAGCTACGAAATGATTTAGACCATGAATAGACGATGTTTCAAAAAATAAGCGCAGATATGATTTCGCTTTGTTTATTACAAGATTCAAAACTGATTGTTTCTTCATGATTTTTTTTCCATCATCACTTTTATTGGAATTCATGATTTAACCGACAAATAATAAAATGTTTGTGCATTAAATAGTGTGTTATACGTATTAGATGATCCGTGAGAATGTAACACACAAGCCTGTTATTATATCCTGAGGCCTTAATGAAATCTAATAACTAAATCGTTTATACAACATCATAGCTATCGTGACAATAGTCAATTACAAGGATATTACAATTATATCGCCTGAATCAGTTCATGCTTGTAACAGGATCGGCGACGAAACGAATACGTTTATCCCTTTCAATATCTGTCATACTAATTAATGCTTTAACGTTATAGGTTTAATGGCTAAATTGGTTTGCAACAAAGAAGATATCAATAATAGTACCTGTGTCGCTGTCTCTATAATTGCTACATTAATATGAATGACCTCGCAATTTATCAGGTTTATAATATTTGTTAGTTTCAAGCATTGTGTTATCTTGATATGACATGATGTACACAGGTAATTTGTACTAGTATTACATAAAATACTAGCGGACCCGACAGACGTTGTCCTGTCTACACGTCTTTAATTTAAATAAATTAATATGAAGTTAATATTTGATGAAAACTGTGAATCTAAACCATTCCCAGATCACCTTGAACACACACAAAAATTTCATCAAAATCGGTCCAGTCGTTTGAGAGAAGTTCAGTGACATACACACTCATAGAAGAATTATATATATAAAGATTAGAAAGCGATTTCCAAATAAACTTCGTCTGATTCACAGTTGAAAAAAATATTTATAAGGAACCAAGCATAATACAAAAATAATCATTTGCTTCTAAAAGTAAATTAACACTTGACGAAAGCAAATACTTTTTTCAATTATCAAATCAAATACAAACATAAAAAGGAAAAGCTACAAAAGAATAACATCACGTAAAAGGTAAACAAGCTGAAACGTTACCTCGTAGCAGCAAAGCCGCTGTAAAGTCTAATAATTTCCGAAGTGTCATGTCGTCGAGAAATAAATGAAGTGGAGAAAATAAATTTCATTTAAAAATCACGGCAGACCATTATTTTCTCCAGCTTCCCCTAATTAATTTCTTGTCACCGTCTAGATCGGCCGTTGTGGCCGTGACAGGGACAGAGAAAAGGACGCCCTTACGTGCGGACGATTAGTACGAAAGAGACGGCCGTATGAAGGTAAGTGTGCTTCATTACCATCTTTCAGTAGTTAACGGAAGCAAGATACGAAGTTTGCTCCGGTCGAGTTCTGCTCGCCTGGTACTTGTTATTAATGACCGTTAGGAATAAATACGAAATTTTCTCCAAGATTTTCCTCCTGTAAAGTACTGCCACGAATTATTAAAGCAACCAAAGCGGAAAGTTAGAGGAAGAAAATATAATAGCAGGAAAACCATTCCTCTTACTATTTTCAAATAATTCAATGAGAATTATCAGTTTCCTTTTTGATGTTAGTTTTCTTGCATTTAACGAAGTTATTCAATATTAATGAAAAACATGAATACTCTGTCTCACAATAATCATCTATAAATATTAGGATTGCTTCTTACTTTGACACTGGTTACATTTACCTTTAATGAATTTGAATGAGCCATTGTCTTGATAAAACATTAGCTTCATCATTACAACAGGCACAGGGAGGTACAGGGTGGGGGAAGTCAGGGCGGAGGGGGGGGGGGAGCACACGCGAGATATAATTAACAAGCTTAATTTTCTTGTACGAGTTGTATTCGAGATGTGCCTGAAGAATGTTTACAGAAAGTAGCGGGTAAATATTGCCATTGGAAACGTCGAGGTAGAAACTTGCGAGGCTAACATAACATGGAGTCAGAACTACTTATATATTGTAATGTATTCATTTACAACTATTACATGACTTGCAACTCTTTAGTTTTAAGGTTAAAGGCAATGGTAATTTTTGCTCTGCGAAATTTTATAATTGATTTTATATATATCACTTAATTCTGTCTATTAAAAGCCATAAATAAGTCATTTTTCTATCAAAAATAAACTTGAGAAATACGTAAAGTCATTAAAATGATTACAAAATCGTACTCCCTACTAGCTGAGCTACGACACCGCCACTTAATTTGAATATCCGGCACAACTGAGTGTTTAATAAAACATTCAGTTTGATTTACATCCTTACAAATCCGTACCTTTTGCGCTTTATTTAGTGTAAACACGCCCTTACAATGTTGCCGAGAGTTTCGTGGAGTCTTCATTTTGCGTTTTCAATTTTGTTAGCGATTACACAATTTGAATTTTCAGTTTAATTGAGTTACTGGAGTGTTTGCGCACAGCTTTATTGAATACCTTTTAAATTAATCATACTATAGGATATCTCTTACATTATTTTCATTTCATATTACAGATGAAACATTAATCAATTTACATCAGAAAGAGGCATTATTTTAGAGACACTGTTTCAAATATCTTTACCAGAAAATAGACTAAACCTATCGCTTGGTTTTGGCTGGCATTAATTTACCGTGCGACTGTTGAAAAAAGAAAAAAATCTTTATTTAACATCTTGCTGAATTGTCTGAAAGTCGCATATAGAAAATCCTGATACGTAAGTTCACCTTCAATATCGGCTTTAACGCGTACACAAAGCGGAATGTTTTAGAGGCAGTTTAGCAGTGCAAGGCAATAAGACGCAGGCAAATTGCCTCCTGCGAGGTAACACCTCCTAATAAAAATTCCTGCAAATCAATACGTTCTCCTTTACGCTTTTTGTATTGTATTTTATTTTGTTATTCGCCTCTGCCTCGTGTTAAAGGGACAATACTAGGATCTTGTATGTGTAGCAGGATTTAATAGGTTTGATATTGGCTATTGTTAAATAACAACCAAATACTGAAGTAACAAATACTAATAACTTTAGTTATTTATAATTATATTTTGTCGTACTGGAATGCGACTGGATCACAAGACTGGATCATCATATCTATGATATATTTTAGTTATTCAAAACATACAAAAAGAGATTTTACTCGAAAGCATCTTAGATTTCTTGATAAAAGACAATTTCATTAAGCACAAACGTATTGATTAAAGATTAGATTGGCTCTTTAAGCTTCTTTCACAGTTAAACTTTTTGATGTATTTGTTATCAAGTATCAAGAGTAGTCGCTCATGTTACAAAAGCAACAGTAAATGGAATACACGTTGGATTCCGCGTCCTGTGTTTGCGATTTGCATGGCGCGTGTGTGTGTGTGTGCGCGCATGTAGCGATACAGTACCGCGCACGTGTGTGCATCCCGATTGACATAAAGGAGCTAAATGCTAGGGGCTGGCTCGTTTGAAACGCTTAGCACCAGTATTTATTGGCACGTACAGGATAAGCAAAAATTCCAATAAAAGTCCTCGGGAATTTCGATGGAAAAGAATAATGTTTAATTTGTCCGATGAGAGCGGACGACGAGATTTATGTGCTTCTCCTATTTGTGTCGTTTGACGACGAATTAAATGTTCCTTTGCGATCTGATGGAGTTTGCCTGTTTATACGGAATGTTGCGTAGGAGGCTTTCAATGAATAACATTTCTTCAAAAATTAAAACAAGAATAAAGTACTTATAAAAAAAAGATTGTGAATTATCTGGCAAACTAGTTAGATACGAACAAATATATTGTTAAGTGTCAGTCATAGAGTACAGAGCGTAAATATTAAAAACTTTCGTTTAATTCAATTAAAAATAGTAAAGAATTCGTGCCATTGCTAAGGCGACTGTATCACTATTCAGTCAGACTCTCGTATTAGAGAAAACATTAATAATTGAACACAATAAAACGATAACATATCAAAACTAATTCCCTGCATACAAAAACCCAGTCAGTATAGTTGTAAGTGACACATGTCGTGTGACGTGACATGTCGCAGGACGGAGGATGACGGCTAGATTTAACTATTATATCTATGTTATGGAAATATTATTTTATAATTATGTGAATTAGTTTTCAGTTAAAATGCTTTGTCAGTGTTGGATTAAGTCGCCATGGGTAAAAAACACTATTAGAGAATTAAAAATTAAATTATCGAGCAATAGCGTATCTTTTATTTAAACCAAACAATCACGTATACTAAACAACGACCTCTAACTACAGGACTATGACTAGAGTTACACTTGTATTAGTATATATTGTTGTCTCTGTTTTATCTGCCAGAATGAAAGGGATGACAATAAGAAAATGTTCATTTTTAGAAATCCCAGGACATGAATATAAACAATATACTACCAAAAATGTTATAATCTTGTATAAAAAGCGGTAGACAAGAGAAATTATCTGATTATCTGGCGCAGATGGCAGTAAAAAGTAAGTGAAGTGTACAGCGCTCACCTCAGCTAAACGCAATTAGATTCGTCTCGGGAGACTGACGCGGACGCCGCTCGTAGTCTAAGAGCCTGCCAACAAAAATACATTGCATTGAACAAACTCATAAACTAAGTCCATTTTTTAGTTTATTCCAAACCATACGTTTCACGTGATGTAAGATTTTTCCAAAGTGTAAAACGTAACATTGGTGATAGAAATAATTAGATATATTTGAAGATTTTTATTTTATTACGACATACGAAGGAACATTATTTTAGAGTGATATTACTATCAAAATAAACATTTTAAATTTTCAAACCAGAGAATAACAATAAAACTTTTTAACATCAAGTAAATGTTGGGTATACTACTCTTAGACTATATGGACCCCGTCACTGATTTACATATAAATTGTAGCTAACTCACGTGGCGTCTCTTACTTTTAACTGCTGTAACCGCACTCCAGCGACCTCCCCCGGATTCCCCTCCACGTGCCCTTTCCTCTCCCCTACCACGAGTTTGTTGCGACCTTTACAAAAATACACTGAATTATTTTACATACGTTCTTATGTTTTTTTTACTGTCCAAAAGAATTATACCAATTCTATTATACAGAAAATAAAATTACAAAAAGATAAAGCCATTTAATGATATTAGGAAAACATTTTAACAAAAAGTAAAAGTCGTTTGTTGTCAAGTTATTTGAAATACCTTTGACATTGTAATCCATCGCCATCATTCTCAGATATTCGGAGGCATTCATCAAGATTTGTCGTGCATTTCGTACATTCGCTGTCACAAAAACTGGAGAGAAATATATCGTGGAGTTAGTGGACAGTGTAATTCAATTTAGTAAATGAGATTTTCCGTCGAGTTACCTGCGACTTCGCCCCTTCATATCATGTTATCTTATAAGATAAAAGTTATTACGATCTTCAGATATTTGAGCCAACGTTTGGCGAAATGTTTATTTGCTAAAAGAAGAAAAAAGTTTGAGTTCTTTTCAAATGTAATGACAACTATTTTCATACATTCTTCTTCTTGAAGTGCCTCTACGACTATGCTGACGGCAAGTTCTCGATATTTTACATTCATCAAAATATTAATATCAATTATTTATAATTGGCAATAACGCTGACTGGAAGTTTTTATTTTGTTTTTATTCCATTAAACTCAATTATTAAAAATATCTATACTGTGTTATTAATCGCATTTGATATGTATTTTAGACTATCTAGTTCATAATTGTTTAAGGTGAAAAGTTCGTTAAATTTGATATTGCAGAATAGTGTATCCTTATTTACACCAGTGTTGGCTATATTGGCCAAACTCAAGGGTCGAGCGAGCAAATTAGATTGGCACAAGTGGGGTCAGACGACGCCCGGGGTGGACAGCGAGGGGACAGGGAATCATATCGCTTGCTTATCAAAACACTAAAGAAATATGAGAATCGCTTTGTTAAAATAGCTTTTCCAGAATTCGCAGCTTGAAAACGGAAATGTTTTCTTCTTAACCTTTGTTTGCATGAACACATTCAAAATTACCATTTTATATAACACTTCTTAATAAGTTAAAATTTTTGTATCTTATCCTTCTAAAAGATGTTTTGTTAAAGAAGATATAGGTTTTTCTAACTTGCGCAACAAGAATAATTATAGAATAGATTTATTTTTTCATTTCACAAAAGTCACGAAAGCTAAAATAAGTAAAACTTTTGACTTAATCGTTAAAAATAAAGAGCCGCATCGTCGACGTGTCGTGAACATGAAAGCGGCTCGCAGGCGCATTTCTAAATCAAAACACGGGCCGTTACCCGCGAGAGTGACTTGCGGAAAATTGGAAAACGAAACAAGGTGAAAAATATTATTAAGTGGAGCGCTCAGCGGCGCCACGGCGCGGGCCGCACGCCGCCGCACGCCGCAGGGGCGCCACCGTGCGGCCCGCAACGGAACTCACACCTCCCGTGTGCTGATTGGACTGACGATCGGCTTCTATTCCCGCGTTGCAATTTATATACAATTCTTACTTAAAGTTTTGTTTTTGATAATAACACTAAATAAAGATATTGTTCCTATTTATTTAACAAAAAATATAATTTTAACTATTTATCTTAATTTATCACATAGCCTTAGCAAACTTTGTCTAGAATGCTTAGCTAAATATAAAGTGGATATATTGTTACAAAGGAAAAATACACACTTGGTCAGTAAATGCTTACTCATCTCATCAAAGATTGAGATTTATGTGCGAGGTAATCTCTGTGCATAAGGTAGGGCTCGGGGCGTACTTTAGCGCAGGTCCCCGACTTTACCGGACGCACATCTATTCATTGACAGTCAATTGGGTCTACAAATCGAGCCGGTGGTCTTAAACGACAACCTTTTAGCGGAGGTGGAGGAAGGGTCCGGTATTAGCCGCACGAGGAGAACAGTTTTTCTTACGACGCTGACACACAGACGTGACGTTTTTTTTTCTTTAATTAGTTACATTTTAAGTATCTTACTTCTTACAAACATCGTATTATCGTTTAATATACGTAACTCCATACTTATTCGAAGATGAATCATATTTAATTTTAAAAAGGAAGTTACTGACATCGTGAAAAGATTATTAAGTTCATCTAACTGATGTTACGTCTACATCTCTCCCTAAAATGATCATCTTATTGCAACTTACTTGACGAGATTCAAAGAAACCTTCCTAATAGAGATTATTGATATTCTGATAGATGTCTTCTCTTGTCAATGGTACGACAAGCATCGATGCATTGATATTGCAATCTTTTCTAACAGAACAGTGTTGCCACAATACTGAACAACTTCATTTTCTGTTTTTCTTCCTAAAATTTTTCGTTGTATAAAGTTTCTAGTGAGCAGTGTGTGTGGGGTAGTTCTTTCACGGTCGATCGGGCGCCCACCTCGCCGCACCTCTTTACGGCGACCGGCCGCTGATAGCTCCAATTACCGCCGGACCTGAGCCGCACCGGACTTGGCATTTATGGCCACGACTCGCCGATATACGACCAAATTTATTATGTGCTTCACAAAGTATTCCGCCTTTTACTTTCTTTTATCATTTCCGAAGCAGACCTATCTATATAAAGAGATTTTGAAAGTGTTCTTTACAGAAATATCCCTTTTACTGTGGTTTAGATTTATATTAGGAAGTGTAAAATGAGGCAAGTGTCCTAATTTTAGTCCTCTCTCTATTCCCACCCTTCTTGTAAAGAAAGGATAAGACAGGAATTTGGATTATGGATGCATAGGTAGGGTAAATATTCTCTTTCTGGGCATCCCTTCCTCCATCGATTAGAGGTCAGCAACGTATCTGCAATTGTGGATGTCTATCGGCAACGTTCGCTTCGTTATTCGGCCCTTATGAAATAAAACAAATAACATTAAAACCATCTTGTGAGTAACATGATTCTAAACAATTTTCAAAGAAAAGAAGTAATAGTTATATCTTGATTATTATCTAATTACAAAGCCAGTTACAATGAATGAAGAGAGAAAAACTAAGCGACATTCCATCATTGTCAATGCCTGATGGATGGCTGTACACTGACATTCATTAACGTTCATTCGTTTACACAGGAAACAAGCCATCAAGGTTATGTTTCAATCGATTTCTTTGTTCCAAACAGATTTAGGTTAATGAAATATAGACAAATGAGCATTAATTAATATTCAAAATGCTGGTTTTATCTTAAAAAAATATGTGGAATTCATTGTATTTTACCTAGCTGTCCTAACAAACAATTCCATTGCAATACAACATGACTAAAAGTTTAATTCTCATAGCGACTTTGTAGCACTGTTGTAGATTTTCGTAGACATTAGTGTGTGTTTTCTGTAGATATCTCTATCATCTCTAGATGTCTAATGAATGGTTTAAGATGTATTTTTCAATTGTTTTCGTTCTTTCATATATATTGTTGGTCCTTGTATTTGCTTCTATTGTCTCATCGTTTAGCGGTAAACTGAGAGCGTTGCAATCTGATACACCTTTTACCGCAGACAAACAACCATCTCAGGTGATTGTGCCCAGGCGGGGGAGCGAGGGTATATTATTTATTTAACCAGAGATATCAAACTGCCTACCCATTATACCGATTTCTATCCCTATGTTTGACTTGTATCGCTTCTCTTTACTTTGTTAACTCTAAACAGTTGCTATTTACACACCTAAAAAAATAAACTCTCAAAAATTTAGCAAACAAACTTGAAAACATATTTTCAGAATCATTTAGAAAAAACATTTCAATTGCAACTGGAATATTAAACCGGTCAATCCCTCTTTAATCTGTAATGTAAATGTACAATGTTTAACAATTTTTGTTTTAATATCAACAATAATTTGAACTTATTAATCACCAAAACGTGAGACGTCCATGACTCAGGTGTCAAGCACGTGACTTGCAATCTGCAAGTCCTGGGTTCGAATCCCGCCATGTACCAATATGTTTTTCGATTTTATCCGATATGTACATTTATCCGACGTTCTTACGGTGAAGGAAAACATCGTGATGCAATCTGTACATATCTGAGAAGAAATTCAAAGATATGTGTGAAGTCAACCAACCCGCACTTGGCCAGAGTGGTTGACTATGTCCTAATCACCCTTATCTTAGGGTAGGCTCCGAGCCCCTCGGTATGGACGGATAGTGAGCTGTTGATAAATCACAAAAAACTATAAGGTTAAGTACATTTCAAGTAGCAATTTCCTCATGCCTACAAACTTACACATTGCATACTCATATCAGAAACAGTATTGTTGTATTTGACGTAGCGTTACTTATAAAATCATTATAACTCATACAAAATGTTGTGCAAGAAGCAATTTCTGCGGCGATTCCTTTCAATTATCGCGTTGTAGCTTCGTAGCATCGTAACTTCATAGCGTCGTAGCCGATATCGGCGCTCTAAGTAGAGGTGGGTCCTCAGAGGCACGTACGCCGGGGGGATTATAGCAGGTAATCTGGCAACACTTACAATAAATATCAAGCTTACTGCTTTATCCTTATTATTATGTTGGAAATAGAATCAAATGTTTTATTATTAATTAACTTAAACAAGTTAATACAAGATTTTAACTGATCATCTAATGTATTTAAGTGAAAGAGATTAATATACTGTTTAATTCACTTTCTTTTCATAAAATAGATAAAGAAGTAATTACCACAACTATAATAATAGCACTTATTTAATTAATAAAGAAGTAAATACTTATTACTTTCATTTTTACCAGCTGGCACTCAATATTATCTGACTCCAACATTCTCTTTCATTCGCCACCTGTTTACGAACATCTGCAGAAACTCTCAACGAAACGCCGTCACAAATGAATTGGCCGTATAACCTGGGGTTGATGTCATATTACCTATTTAAAAGTTGTTCGCTGCAGGTGACTATTTACTAACAAAGTTACATTTACAGTTCCTACACAATAAATTGATTCTTATTTGGTGAGCAGTAAGGTTTATTTTGAATGCAGTTGTAGGAGAGGTCTCCCTCTTTCCTTGTGGAAATATCTGACGGTTGGTGACGTTTAATCTCGCGTGGCGCGGCGGTCGCGCGCGTATCATTCGCAGTCCGCCGCTAGTGATGTCCCTATTGATAAATTCAACTATTTTATTAGAACCCAAAAAGTAACGATAGTTTTTCTAACTTGCATTCTGAATATTCTGTTTTATTTCATTCTTACAAATATATTTGGTATAATGTCACTAAACTACTA